CTGCTTAGACAGAGCTAGGGTGCTCATGCCGGGCTATGCTGCTTAGACAGAACTAGGGCGCTCAGGCTGGGCTAGGGCGCTTAGACAGAGCTAGGGCACTCAGGCCGGGCTAGGCTGCTTAGACAGAACTAGGGCGCTCAGGCTGGGCTAGGGCGCTCAGGCCGGGCTAGGCTGCTTAGACAGAGCTAGGGTGCTCATGCCGGGCTATGCTGCTTAGACAGAACTAGGGCGCTTAGACAGAGCTAGGGCGCTCAGGCCGGGCTAGGCTGCTTAGACAGAGCTAGGGTGCTCATGCCGGGCTATGCTGCTTAGACAGAACTAGGGCGCTCAGGCTGGGCTAGGGCGCTTAGACAGAGCTAGGGCACTCAGGCCGGGCTAGGCTGCTTAGACAGAGCTAGGGTGCTCAGGCTGGGCTAGGGCACTCAGGCCGGGCTAGGGCGCTTAGACAGAACTAGGGCGCTCAGGCCGGGCTAGGCTGCTTAGACAGAGCTAGGGCGCTCAGGCCGGGCTATGCTGCTTAGACAGAACTAGGGCGCTCAGGCAGGGCTAGGGCGCTTAGACAGAGCTAGGGCACTCAGGCCGGGCTAGGCTGCTTAGACAGAGCTAGGGTGCTCAGGCTGGGCTAGGGCACTCAGGCCGGGCTAGGGCGCTTAGACAGAACTAGGGCGCTCAGGCCGGGCTAGGCTGCTTAGACAGAGCTAGGGCGCTCAGGCCGGGCTAGGGCACTCAGGCCGGGCTAGGGCGATTAGACAGAACTAGGGCGCTCAGGCCGGGTTAGGGCGCTCAGGCCGGGCTAGGGCGATCAGGCCGGGCTAGGGCACTCAGGCCGGGCTAGGGCGATTAGACAGAGCTAGGGTGCTCAGGCCGGGCTAGGCTGCTTAGACAGAGCTAGGGTGCTCATGCCGGGCTATGCTGCTTAGACAGAACTAGGGCGCTCAGGCAGGGCTAGGGCGCTCAGGCCGGGTTAGGGCGCTCAGGCCGGGCTAGGGCGCTCAGGCCGGGCTAGGGCACTCAGGCCGGGCTAGGGCGATTAGACAGAGCTAGGGCGCTCAGGCCGGGCTAGGCTGCTTAGACAGAGCTAGGGTGCTCATGCCGGGCTATGCTGCTTAGACAGAACTAGGGCGCTCAGGCAGGGCTAGGGCGCTTAGACAGAGCTAGGGCACTCAGGCCGGGCTAGGCTGCTTAGACAGAGCTAGGGTGCTCAGGCTGGGCTAGGGCACTCAGGCCGGGCTAGGGCGCTTAGACAGAACTAGGGCGCTCAGGCCGGGCTAGGCTGCTTAGACAGAGCTAGGGCGCTCAGGCCGGGCTAGGGCACTCAGGCCGGGCTAGGGCGATTAGACAGAACTAGGGCGCTCAGGCCGGGTTAGGGCGCTCAGGCCGGGCTAGGGCGCTCAGGCCGGGCTAGGGCACTCAGGCCGGGCTAGGGCGATTAGACAGAACTAGGGCGCTCAGGCCGGGTTAGGGCGCTCAGGCCGGGCTAGGGCGATCAGGCCGGGCTAGGGCGATTAGACAGAACTAGGGCACTCAGGCCGGGCTAGGGCGCTTAGACAGAGCTAGGGCGCTCAGGCCGGGCTAGGGCGCTTAGGCCGGGTTAGGGCGCTCAGGCCGGGCTAGGGCGCTTAGGCCGGGTTAGGGCGCTCAGGCCGGGCTAGGGCACTCAGGCCGGGCTAGGGCGCTTAGACAGAGCTAGGGCGCTCAGGCCGGGCTAGGGCGCTCAGGCCGGGCTAGGGCGCTTAGGCCGGGTTAGGGCGCTCAGGCCGGGCTAGGGCTCTCAGGCCAGGCTAGGGCAATTAGACAGAACTAGGGCACTCAGGCCGGGCTAGGGCGATTAGACAGAACTAGGGCGCTCAGGCCGGGCTAGGGCGCTTAGACAGAACTCGGGCGCTCAGGCCGGTCTAGGGCGCTCAGGCCGGGCTAGGCTGCTTAGACAGAGCTAGGGCGCTCTGGCCGGGCCAGGGCGCTTAGACAGAGCTAGGGCGCTCAGGCCGGGCTAGGGCGCTCAGGCCGGGCTAGGGCGCTCAGACAGAGCTAGGGCGCTTAGACAGAGCTAGGGCGCCCAGGCCGGGCTAGGCGGCTCAGGCCGGACTGAGAGACATTATAAATAAACTGGGAAATAGCAGAAACATAAACCAGAAAAAAAAAATGTTTAAGTCAAAGAAGAATAAAATCAGACAGACATCTGCAGGGTTGCCATGGTGAAAACAGGTGATGACATCACGCTGGTTTAGTGGTGCTGTTGTAGACGAGTGAGTCTTCCTGAGAGAGCTCCACATGGGGGGGTCCAGGGGGCCTGCTAGAGGGATTTCTGCGCCGACGAAAAAAGCAGTACCCCAGGATGGCCAACAGAGCCAAGATGGCTACCGCCAGAACCACGGCCAACGCCACAGAGCCTGTGGAGACACAGCGAGGTCACTTCCTGTCAGCACACACAGGACAACATAACCTGTTCTAGAGAAAAACCTAGAACTACATGCAACAGATTGACAGGAACGGGTCTGAGTGAACCTTTAATTGAACAGAGACCCTAAAGAAGTATTCACTCCCTGTGAACAGTTTGCTCCTTGTCATCTATCAAAGGTAAACTGGGATGTTTGCTCCTTGTCTTCTATCAAAGGTAAACTGGGATGTTTGCTCCTTGTCATCTATCAAAGGTAAACTGGGATGTTTGCTCCTTGTCTTCTATCAAAGGTAAATTGGGATGTTTGCTCCTTGTCTTCTATCAAAGGTAAATTGGGATGTTTGCTCCTTGTCTTCTATCAAAGGTAAACTGGGATGTTTGCTCCTTGTCATCTATCAAAGGTAAACTGGGATGTTTGCTCCTTGTCTTCTATCAAAGGTAAACTGGGATGTTTGCTCCTTGTCTTCTATCAAAGGTAAATTGGGATGTTTGCTCCTTGTCATCTATCATTAATGTTCCTCTAATTAGTGAGAAATAAATGACCATAAGCACTGAATCAGTAGGAAACAAGAAGCACGGCATTTAGATTCATTTTTATTCAACATTAAAACATTTGGTCCTGAGATAAAAACTGAAATGAAAACTGAGGCACAATACATTAAAAACCCAAAGTTCTGTCTCCTCAGATGGACTGAAGACATTTCACTCCAACATTCAAAGTGCAATAAAGGAACCCTGAGACCCAAACATTGATTTACAAACATGTTCATTAGGAGATGACCCGAAAACAAAACCATCCGTTACAAACAAACCTGCTGACTCGGCCAATCTGCACAAATCAGAAATCTACACAAGCGTCACTCAGACCGCTAGGGCGCTCAGGCCGGGCTAGGCTGCTTAGACAGAGCTAGGGTGCTCAGGCCGGGCTAGGGCGCTTAGACAGAACTAGGGCACTCAGGCTGGGCTAGGGCGCTTAGACAGAGCTAGGGCGCTCAGGCCGGGCTAGGCTGCTTAGACAGAGCTAGGGTGCTCATGCCGGGCTATGCTGCTTAGACAGAACTAGGGCGCTCAGGCTGGGCTAGGGCGCTTAGACAGAGCTAGGGCACTCAGGCCGGGCTAGGCTGCTTAGACAGAACTAGGGCGCTCAGGCTGGGCTAGGGCGCTTAGACAGAGCTAGGGCGCTCAGGCCGGGCTAGGCTGCTTAGACAGAGCTAGGGTGCTCATGCCGGGCTATGCTGCTTAGACAGAACTAGGGCGCTCAGGCTGGGCTAGGGCGCTTAGACAGAGCTAGGGCACTCAGGCCGGGCTAGGCTGCTTAGACAGAGCTAGGGTGCTCAGGCTGGGCTAGGGCACTCAGGCCGGGCTAGGGCGCTTAGACAGAACTAGGGCGCTCAGGCCGGGCTAGGCTGCTTAGACAGAGCTAGGGCGCTCAGGCCGGGCTAGGGCACTCAGGCCGGGCTAGGGCGATTAGACAGAACTAGGGCGCTCAGGCCGGGTTAGGGCGCTCAGGCCGGGCTAGGGCGCTCAGGCCGGGCTAGGGCACTCAGGCCGGGCTAGGGCGATTAGACAGAACTAGGGCGCTCAGGCCGGGTTAGGGCGCTCAGGCCGGGCTAGGGCGATCAGGCCGGGCTAGGGCGATTAGACAGAACTAGGGCACTCAGGCCGGGCTAGGGCGCTTAGACAGAGCTAGGGCGCTCAGGCCGGGCTAGGGCGCTTAGGCCGGGTTAGGGCGCTCAGGCCGGGCTAGGGCGCTTAGGCCGGGTTAGGGCGCTCAGGCCGGGCTAGGGCACTCAGGCCGGGCTAGGGCGCTTAGACAGAGCTAGGGCGCTCAGGCCGGGCTAGGGCGCTCAGGCCGGGCTAGGGCGCTTAGGCCGGGTTAGGGCGCTCAGGCCGGGCTAGGGCTCTCAGGCCAGGCTAGGGCAATTAGACAGAACTAGGGCACTCAGGCCGGGCTAGGGCGATTAGACAGAACTAGGGCGCTCAGGCCGGGCTAGGGCGCTTAGACAGAACTCGGGCGCTCAGGCCGGTCTAGGGCGCTCAGGCCGGGCTAGGCTGCTTAGACAGAGCTAGGGCGCTCTGGCCGGGCCAGGGCGCTTAGACAGAGCTAGGGCGCTCAGGCCGGGCTAGGGCGCTCAGGCCGGGCTAGGGCGCTCAGACAGAGCTAGGGCGCTTAGACAGAGCTAGGGCGCCCAGGCCGGGCTAGGCGGCTCAGACCGGGCTAGGGCGCTCAGACAGAGCTAGGGCGCTTAGACAGAGCTAGGGCGCCCAGGCCGGGCTAGGGCGCTCAGACAGAGCTAGGGCGCTTAGACAGAGCTAGGGCGCCCAGGCCGGGCTAGGCGGCTCAGACCGGGCTAGGGCGCTCAGACAGAGCTAGGGCGCTTAGACAGAGCTAGGGCGCTCAGGCCGGGCTAGGCTGCTTAGACAGAGCTAGGGCGCTCAGGCCGGGCTAGGGCGCTCAGACAGAGCTAGGGCGCTTAGACAGAGCTAGGGTGCCCAGGCCGGGCTAGGCGGCTCAGACCGGGCTAGGGCGCTCAGACAGAGCTAGGGCGCTTAGACAGAGCTAGGGCGCTCAGGCCGGGTTAGGGCGCTCAGGCCGGGCTAGGCTGCTTAGACAGAGCTATGGCGCCCAGGCCGGGCTAGGGCGCCCAGGCCGGGCTAGGGCGCTCAGACAGAGCTAGGGCGCTCAGACAGAGCTAGGGCGCTTAGACAGAGCTAGGGCGCCCAGGCCGGGCTAGGCGGCTCAGGCCGGACTGAGAGACGTTATAAATAAACTGGGAAATAGCAGAAACATAAACCAGAAAAAAAAAATGTTTAAGTCAAAGAAGAATAAAATCAGACAGACATCTGCAGGGTTGCCATGGTGAAAACAGGTGATGACATCACGCTGGTTTAGTGGTGCTGTTGTAGACGAGTGAGTCTTCCTGAGAGAGCTCCACATGGGGGGGTCCAGGGGGCCTGCTAGAGGGATTTCTGCGCCGACGAAAAAAGCAGTACCCCAGGATGGCCAACAGAGCCAAGATGGCTACCGCCAGAACCACGGCCAACGCCACAGAGCCTGTGGAGACACAGCGAGGTCACTTCCTGTCAGCACACACAGGACAACATAACCTGTTCTAGAGAAAAACCTAGAACTACATGCAACAGATTGACAGGAACGGGTCTGAGTGAACCTTTAATTGAACAGAGACCCTAAAGAAGTATTCACTCCCTGTGAACAGTTTGCTCCTTGTCATCTATCAAAGGTAAACTGGGATGTTTGCTCCTTGTCTTCTATCAAAGGTAAACTGGGATGTTTGCTCCTTGTCATCTATCAAAGGTAAACTGGGATGTTTGCTCCTTGTCTTCTATCAAAGGTAAATTGGGATGTTTGCTCCTTGTCTTCTATCAAAGGTAAATTGGGATGTTTGCTCCTTGTCTTCTATCAAAGGTAAACTGGGATGTTTGCTCCTTGTCATCTATCAAAGGTAAACTGGGATGTTTGCTCCTTGTCTTCTATCAAAGGTAAACTGGGATGTTTGCTCCTTGTCTTCTATCAAAGGTAAATTGGGATGTTTGCTCCTTGTCATCTATCAAAGGTAAATTGGGATGTTTGCTCCTTGTCTTCTATCAAAGGTAAATTGGGATGTTTGCTCCTTGTCTTCTATCAAAGGTAAATTGGGAGGTTTGAACTCAGAGATGCTGAAGTTTGTCTCCGTCCGTCTCCTTCAGCTTCCCTTTAGAACCAGCTGAAGCTCAGGATAGGAAACATCTGGGAACATCTCTGATCTAAGCTCCGCCTCAGTCTCAGGTTATCTACAGCTGCCTCCATCCATCATCCTTTCACATCTGCCCAGTCCTTCTGTCCCACAGCATGGTGCTGCCATCACCGTGCTTCACAGTGAGGAGAGTCTGAGGATGTTTGTCTCCATGGTGTAAAGAGCGGAGCTTCCCCAAATGTTGGAAGATGGACTTTATGAGCTGATTCTCAGGGTGCTGGTGGTGAGGGATGATGCAGGATTGACAGCAAACATCTACTGAAAATATCTGATGACCTTGATGCACAGAGACTGGGAACCTTTAATCTGTCTGGATGATCTGGTTGATCTGGATCTATGAAGTGAGCTGAGATGATGTCAATTCCAGCTCTAGAAATAAACTGAATTTGTCATTTATTTCTAGCAGCTGTTTATAATTGATTCTGTTATTTAGTTTTTTAATGTGTTTTCTATATTTTTTATTTCAATCGGTTACATTTTATTTTTTGGTTTTTTATCCCAAAGTCAGTCCAGTCAGTTTAGAAGTGATCATTTGATGGCATCAGTCTTCTTTAGCTTCCTAAAGGATGAAGAGCTTACCCGATTCCCCAACATCTTCATCTGTTCCCAAACGTTCAAACATTCCCTTGGAAAACAGGTTCTGTTCTGTAGAAACAAAGAACAAAGTTCAGCTTTACCTTCCGGCTCCACTGAAGTCCAGGTTCATTCCTCAATTAGCTCCTCGGAAAATTCTCAGTTTTCTAAACCTGAAATCAGTGCGTTTTTTCCGTTTCACTAACAGTTTCCTCATCCTCTGTTTCTGTTGCCATAGTAACATCCTCCCACAGCTGACCAGGTCAGCAGCAGGTTTCCTTCAGTAAACTCAGAGTTTCCTCATCCTGTTGCTGTTGCCATAGTAACATCCTCCCAGAGCTAACCTGGTCAGCAGCAGGTTTCCTTCAGTAAACTCAGAGTTTCCTCATCCTGTTGCTGTTGCCATAGTAACATCCTCCCAGAGCTAACCTGGTCAGCAGCAGGTTTCCTTCAGTAAACTCAGAGTTTCCTCATCCTGTTTCTGTTGCCATAGTAACATCCTCCCACAGCTGACCAGGTCAGCAGCAGGTTTCTTTCAGTAAACTCAGAGTTTCCTCATCCTGTTTCTGTTGCCATAGTAACATCCTCCCACAGCTGACCAGGTCAGCAGCAGGTTTCTTTCAGTAAACTCAGAGTTTCCTCATCCTGTTGCTGTTGCCATGGTAACATCCTCCCACAGCTGACCAGGTCAGCAGCAGGTTTCTTTCAGTAAACTCAGAGTTTCCTCATCCTGTTTCTGTTGCCATAGTAACATCCTCCCACAGCTGACCAGGTCAGCAGCAGGTTTCTTTCAGTAAACTCAGAGTTTCCTCATCCTGTTGCTGTTGCCATGGTAACATCCTCCCACAGCTGACCAGGTCAGCAGCAGGTTTCCTTCAGTAAACTCAGAGTTTCCTCATCCTGTTTCTGTTGCCATAGTAACATCCTCCCACAGCTGACCAGGTCAGCAGCAGGTTTCCTTCAGTAAACTCAGAGTTTCCTCATCCTGTTGCCATAGTAACATCCTCCCAGAGCTAACCTGGTCAGTAGCAGGTTTCTTTCAGTAAACTCAGAGTTTCCTCATCCTGTTGCTGTTGCCATAGTAACATCCTCCCAGAGCTAACCTGGTCAGCAGCAGGTTTCCTTCAGTAAACTCAGAGTTTCCTCATCCTGTTTCTGTTGCCATAGTAACATCCTCCCAGAGCTAACCTGGTCAGCAGCAGGTTTCCTTCAGTAAACTCAGAGTTTCCTCATCCTGGTTCTGTTGCCATGGTAACATCCTCCCACAGCTGACCAGGTCAGCAGCAGGTTTCTTTCAGTAAACTCAGAGTTTCCTCCGTCTCCCCCTCCTTACATCACGCTGCTTTATTTCCTGATTTAGTCAGATTTTAATCATAGTTTTGTGCATTAGGTCCATCAGACACATTAGGTTTAAAAACAAACATGTTCATTAATTGAGGATCTTATTAAAGAATGATCTGCATTAATTCACAGATTTTAAATAATTAAATATAATTAAATATTCATAGGCAGAGGAATCTACAACTCAATGACAGGATAGGAGATTTTATTTTTATTATATTTACAGTACATGTAGAAGTACTGAAATTATTTTCAGATGACACATAAACAGATGAATTAATTCCTCATGGTGGTGGTGGTGGGGGGGGGGGGGGTTGACTATCTGAAGCCATTCTATGGGACTGATAACCACCAATAACGACCATTTATTGGGACGATAACATCTGCAGCGGCTGCAAACAGCCTCTTAGTGTGAAAGAGACTGAATCAACATGAGGAAGAACCCATGAGATGATGAACAGGTTCTATTTATTACAATAACGTTTTAAATAATAATAATAATAATAATAACTTCAGAGTGTAATATATGGGAGGTGGAACAAAGAATGAGGGAGAACAGAAGGAGGCTCTGATCCCGCCCACTGGATTGGCCAAGGAGGTCACCTTGGGGGGTGGGAGGCGAGTCTTCTGGGTGGTCTTCCTAAAAGTGTTTTGGAAGCAGTTGAAAGGTTACGTCTAAGACCACCTCCTCTATAGAGAAATGGTTTGGTTAGATTCTCATCCCACCCGTCCTCCCTTATCTCACTCTTCCATGAGGCATGTGACCGAAACCACTCTGATGAGGGAGTTAACGACCAATCTGAGCCCCCGAACGACCAATCTGAGCCCCCGAGCGACCAATCTGAGCCCCCTAACGACCAATCTGAGCCCCCTAACGACCAATCTGAGCCCCCTAACGACCAATCTGAGCCCCCTAACGACCAATCTGAGCCCCCTAACGACCAATCTGAGCCCCCGAACGACCAATCTGAGCCCCCGAACGACCAATCTGAGCCCCCGAACGACCAATCTGAGCCCCCGAACGACCAATCTGAGCCCCCGAACGACCAATCTGAGCCCCCGAACGACCAATCTGAGCCCCCGAACGACCAATCTGAGCCCCGGAACGACCCATCTGAGCCCCGGAACGACCCATCTGAGCCCCGGAACGACCCATCTGAGCCCCCGAACGACCAATCTGAGCCCCCCAACGACCAATCTAAGCCCCCGAACGACCAATCAGAGCCCCCTAACGACCAATCAGAGCCCCCTAACGACCAATCAGAGCCCCGGAACGACCAATCAGAGCCCCCTAACGACCAATCAGAGCCCCCTAACGACCAATCAGAGCCCCTGAACGACCAATCAGAGCCCCGGAACGACCAATCAGAGCCCCCTAACGACCAATCAGAGCCCCCTAACGACCAATCAGAGCCCCCTAACGACCAATCAGAGCCCCCGAACGACCAATCAGAGCCCCCGAACGACCAATCAGAGCCCCGGAACGACCAATCTGAGCCCCCTAACGACCCATCTGAGCCCCCGAACGACCAATCTGAGCCCCGGAACGACCAATCAGAGCCCCCTAACGACCAATTTGAGCCCCCGAACGACCAATCAGAGCCCCGGAACGACCAATCAGAGCCCCGGAACGACCAATCAGAGCCCCCTAACGACCAATCAGAACCCCCTAACGACCAATCTGAGCCCCGAACGACCAATCTGAGCCCCCGAACGACCAATCTGAGCCCCCGAACGACCAATCAGAGCCCCCGAACGACCAATCGGAGCCCCCGAACGACCAATCTGAGCCCCCGAACGACCAATCTGAGCCCCCGAACGACCCCACTCATTCCCCTTAAAGCCATTGTTACAGATGTGGTTAGAAATTAGCAACAGATCCCAGTTGCACCAGTACAGACCTGATAATCCCAGTCTGCTACTGGTCAACATAAGCTGGCCACAGGGACGCCCAGCAGGTCTCCTCAGAATAACTTCTCTTCCTTTTGGCTGAGGCTGAAGAGCAGCTCTGCATCTTTATCTTGCTAACCATCGCTGACCATCATCACTGCCCTCTACTACCAGATGTTCTCCTGCCTGACCTCCCCTACGCCTCCTCAGGTACCTGTCACTCCTTTGCAGGTCTCGCTGCACTTCGACTCTTCCTCGAAGTTGTTGTCGTTTCCGTCGCAGCCTCCGAACGTGAAGCTCTGGCACTTCCTGTCTGTAGGGTCGTAGTACCAGCGGGTGAAACTGGCCCGGCACGGACCGGTGCGAGGAGGCTCCACACATCGGGCTGCGGATGAACAAGGCCACCATAGTCACTACCAAAAGGACTGGTTACCATGACAACCCGGGAGCATCTGAGGGGAACTGACCTTGCTTCTCACTGACATTGATGCTCAGCAGGCGGCTGAAGGTCTGACTCACTGAGGAGGAAGAGGAGAAAGAGGATGATGATGATGATGAAGGTGCAATCCCAACAGCTAGAGAGAGGCTGGAGGTTTGATAAAGATCTGGATCCAGAGAGGCGGGTCTAAAACCTGCCCATCAATCAATCATTTCCTGCTTCCTGTCCGGCTGACGAAGTTCAGATCATGGAAACCTTGGAAATCTAGAACCTGCTTTATCGCCCCCTGCTGACCGCCTTTAAGGCGGTCAGCAGGGGGCGATAAAGAGCAGAGCGGTTAAAGGCGGTCAGCAGGGGGCGATAAAGAGCAGAGCGGTTAAAGGCGGTCAGCAGGGGGCGATAAAGAGCAGAGCGGTTAAAGGCGGTCAGCAGGGGGCGCTAAAGAGCAGAGCGGTTACGTTCACTGCAGGAGTTTTCATCGGTGCCGTCGCTGCACTGTTTCACGCCATCACACTCCAGAGTCCAGTCCAAACAGCAGCGTTCATCACAGGTCAGCTGATCAGGGCGGCACACCGGGCTGCACTCCGCTGCACACACACACACACACACATTAAGAGCAAACTGCCAACAGGGAGTGGGGTGGGTGGGTGGGGGTGGGTGACGGGGGCTGGACTCACTGGTGGTGGGTAGAGTGACGCTCCTTTCTGATGACACTGTGGAGCGAAGCAGACAGACTGAGAAAACAGGTGTGATTGGGGGTCTGTGGGTGAGGGGGTCTGTGGGTGGGGGTCTGTGGGTGAGGGGGTCTGTGGGTGGGGGTCTGTGTGGGTGGGGTTCTGTGTGGGGGTGGGGGTCTGTGGGTGAGGGGGTCTGTGGGTGAGGGGGTCTCTGGGTGGGGGTCTGTGTGGGTGGGGTTCTGTGTGGGGGTGGGGGTCTGTGTGGGTGGGGGTCTGTGGGTGAGGGGGTCTGTGTGGGTGAGGGGGTCTGTGGGTGGGGGTCTGTGTTGGGGTGGGGGTCTGTGTGGGTGGGGGTCTGTGTGGGTGGGGGTCTGTGTTGGGGTGGGGGTCTGTGTGGGTGAGGGGGTCTGTGGGTGAGGGGGTCTGTGGGTGGGGGTCTGTGTGGATGGGGGTCTGTGTGGATGGGGGTCTGTGTGGGGGTGGGGATCTGTGGGTGAGGGGGTCTGTGTGGGTGGGGGTCTGTGTGGGTGGGGGGGTTCTGTGTGGGTGGGGGTCTGTGTGAGTGGGGGTCTGTGGGTGGGGGTGTGTGGGTGGGGGGGTTCTGTGTGGGTGGGGGTCTGTGTGGGTGGGGGCGGTACCTGTGACTCCTCTGCAGGCCAGCAAACACTCCCACTCTGACAGGAAGTTGTTGTTGTTGGGTTTGCAGCCTCCAAAGGTGAACTTCTCACAGCTGCCCGTCTCGACTTTGTAACGCCATCGGGGAAACGCCGCGCGGCAAGGCCCCACCTTCACCGGCGCCAGACAGTACGCTGAGGAACAGCAAGGGTGACATCACTTCAATTCTATTCAGTTTATTTCTATAGCTCCAAATTCTCAACATACGTCATCTCAAGGCACTTTCCAGATCAATCAGATCATCCAGTCAAATTGATTCAAAGTTTTCTATCTAAGGAAAACCAGCTGATTGCATCGACTCATTGACTCTTCAGCAATCCCTCACACTAAGCATGCTTGTAGCGACAGTGGAGAGGAAAAACTCCCTTTGAACAGGAAGAAACCTCCAGCAGAACCAGGCTCAGTGTGAGCGGCCATCTGCTGAGGCCCACTGGGGTTCAAGGAGACAGAAGCAGACATAGAAAAAGAAGCATAGATACAAAAGGCAACTGTCAACCAGCTCCACAGGCGGCCCCGTCCAGGAAACACACAGCCAGGCAGACGAGCTCCGAGCCAGCTCCCATGTCAGAGGATGAAGAGAGCACATCCAGTTAGTCACAGCCAGAGAAACAGGACTACACTGTAAAACAGGCCAAGCTCCAACATCTAGAAACAAAGGTGTTGATGGCAGCAGCACAGCTGATATTTCTCTCCAGGATGGAGTCACAGCCAAACAGGAACAGACCAGATGAAGCTACTATGAGGAAACTTCCTGTACTCGGCTTCCAACCACAGCGGTCTGATGTCTCTGTAACCGTAGCAACGGATTTACAGCCAGACCGGTCCATGACACAGAGCTGGGAGCGATCAGAACTGTTTGGTCTCTGATCCACTAACAGAAGGAATGTTTTACTGCTGCTGTGGGAGTGGGTCGGTACTGGAACCAGTCGGTACTGGAACCAGTCGGTACTGGAACTAGTCGGTACTGGAATCAGAAAGGAAAAGGCTGGATTGGGACGCCCCTTCATCATCAACTCTCTGCTCTCCTGAACTCACATGAAACTCGACTGAAGACATTAAGAAAGTTCTGGTGGAGCCGGTTTCTGCTCAGCTGGGAGTGGTGCTGGATAACCAGTCCAACCAGTACAAGCGCAGGCCTGGATCACAGCCATTAAAACAGATCCATCACCTCACAGCCAACGGTTGCAGCAGAAACTGTCAGCAGTTAATCTGGGATTAGAGTCTCCAGCCAACGTCAGACCATCAATAATCTGTCTTTTTTTTTATAACAGCCCACCCAGAAAAAATACAGGAAGTGACATAATCTCAACCCCCTGATGGTCGGCTGGCAGGCGGCTCCTCCTGTTCGCCCATCATTCAGTTCAGCCAATGAACTGATGGGAGGAACCAAGCTGCTTATGGATCATCTGCCACTAAAACCAGGAAACGACCAACAGACCTGCTTAAAGCAGCGATCCTTTCCCGCTACCTTTACCTTCTCCACCCGGATCGGTTGGGGCGCCATCGGAAGGCCGAGCTGCTCAGTCTGACATCTACTGCCTCCCAGACGCCGGCGGCCAAATGCATGATGGGCGGCAGAACATGGTGGAAGAGTGGCTCTGATTGGCTGGTGTTCACAGCGGTTCTGGTTCTACTGGAGGTCCGTTTCCACGCAGTTAAACGCTTCCAGTCAGCGACCGGATACGATGTGTTCAATGACATCCGTTTAAATTCAGATTGTGGAGGTAGCGCGGTCGCGGCATTATTGGACCTCAGAGCCGCTGCTATCCCTGAAAGTGGGCGGAGTTTATGGCTCTCATGTAGGCGGGGCTAAAGTCTGCTGGATGGAGCCGTCTGCTGCAGAACCAGATGTTTGCAACTGGTTGATGAAGAATACAAAAATTAAAAAATAAAATAAAACGTTCCTTCGCAGTCCTGCGTTCTGGAACGACGGAGAGTCGCACTTCGTTCTGTTTAACCAACTAGTTAATAATAACTAGTTAAACACCCATAATGAGGCACAGCCTGACAGTGCAGATCTATTTCATTACTGCAGATCTATTCTATTATTGCAGATCTATTCTATTACTGCAGATCTATTTCATTACTGCAGATCTATTTCATTACTGCAGATCTATTTTACTGCAGATCTATTTTACTGCAGATCTATTCTATCATTGCAGATCTATTTCATTACTGCAGATCTATTTCATTACTGCAGATCTATTTTACTGCAGATCTATTTTACTGCAGATCTATTTTACTGCAGATCTATTCTATTATTGCAGATCTATTCTATTATTGCAGATCTATTTTATCATTGCAGATCTATTTCATTACTGCAGATCTATTTCATTACTGCAGATCTATTTTATTATTGCAGATCTATTCTATTATTGCAGATCTATTTTATCATTGCAGATCTATTTCATTACTGCAGATCTATTTCATTACTGCAGATCTATTTTACTGCAGATCTATTTTACTGCAGATCTATTTTATTATTGCAGGTCTATTCTATTATTGCAGATCTATTTTATCATTGCAGATCTATTCTATTATTGCAGATCTATTTTATCATTGCAGATCTATTTTATCATTGTAGATCTATTCTACAGATCTATTTCATTACTGCAGATCTATTTTATTATTGCAGATCTATTCTATTATTGCAGATCTATCTATTATTGCAGATCTATTTTACTGCAGATCTATTTTAAAGCAGATCTATTTTACTGCAGATCTATTCTATCATTGCAGATCTATTTCATTACTGCAGATCTATTTCATTACTGCAGATCTATTTTACTGCAGATCTATTTTACTGCAGATCTATTTTACTGCAGATCTATTCTATTATTGCAGATCTATTCTATTATTGCAGATCTATTTTATCATTGCAGATCTATTTCATTACTGCAGATCCATTTCATTACTGCAGATCTATTTTATTATTGCAGATCTATTCTATTATTGCAGATCTATTTTATCATTGCAGATCTATTTCATTACTGCAGATCTATTTCATTACTGCAGATCTATTTTACTGCAGATCTATTTTACTGCAGATCTATTTTATTATTGCAGGTCTATTCTATTATTGCAGATCTATTTTATCATTGCAGATCTATTCTATTATTGCAGATCTATTTTATCATTGCAGATCTATTTTATCATTGTAGATCTATTCTACAGATCTATTTCATTACTGCAGATCTATTTTATTATTGCAGATCTATTCTATTATTGCAGATCTATCTATTATTGCAGATCTATTTTACTGCAGATCTATTTTAAAGCAGATCTATTTTACTATTGCAGATCTATTTTGATGCAGATCTATTTTACTGGAGATCTATTTTGATGCAGATCTATTTTGATGCAGATCTATTTTATTGCAGATCTATTTTGATGCAGATCTATTTTGATGCAGATCTATTTTACTGCAGATCTATTTTACTGCAGATCTATTTTATTATTGCAGATCTATTTTGATGCAGATCTATTTTGATGCAGATCTATTTTATCACAGATCTATTTTATCACAGATCTATTTTGATGCAGATCTATTTTATCGCAGATGTATTTTATCACAGATCTATTTTATCGCAGATCTATTTTATCGCAGATCTATTTTATCACAGATCTATTTTACTGCAGATCTATTTTATCACAGATCTATTTTATTGCAGATCTATTTTATCACAGATCTATTTTACTGCAGATCTATTTTATCACAGATCTATTTTATCACAGATCTATTTTGATGCAGATCTATTTTATCGCAGATCTATTTTATCACAGATCTATTTTATCACAGATCTATTTTATCACAGATCTATTTTGATGCAGATCTATTTTATCACAGATCTATTTCATCGCAGATCTATTTCATCGCAGATCTATTTCATCGCAGATCTATTTTGATGCAGATCTATTTTATTGCAGATCTATTTTATCGCAGATCTATTTTATCGCAGATCTATTTTGATGCAGATCTATTTTATCGCAGATCTATTTTGATGCAGATCTATTTTATCGCAGATCTATTTTATCGCAGATCTATTTTATCGCAGATCTATTTTATTATTGCAGATCTATTTTATTATTGCAGATCTATTTTATTATTGCAGATCTATTTTGATGCAGATCTATTTTATTATTGCAGATCTATTTTATCGCAGATCTATTTCATCGCAGATCTATTTCATCGCAGATCTATTTCATCGCAGATCTATTTCATCGCAGATCTATTTTGATGCAGATCTATTTTATTGCAGATCTATTTTATCGCAGATCTATTTTATCGCAGATCTATTTTGATGCAGATCTATTTTATCGCAGATCTATTTTGATGCAGATCTATTTTATCGCAGATCTATTTTATCGCAGATCTATTTTATCGCAGATCTATTTTATTATTGCAGATCTATTTTATTATTGCAGATCTATTTTATTATTGCAGATCTATTTTGATGCAGATCTATTTTATTATTGCAGATCTATTTTATCGCAGATCTATTTTATCGCAGATCTATTTTATCGCAGATCTAATTTGATGCAGATATATTTTATCACAGATCTATTTTGATGCAGATCTATTTTATCACAGATCTATTTTGATGCAGATCTATTTTATCGCAGATGTATTTTATCACAGATCTATTTCATCGCAGATCTATTTAATCGCAGATCTATTTTGATGCAGATCTATTTTATTGCAGATCTATTTTATCGCAGATCTATTTTATCGCAGATCTATTTTGATGCAGATCTATTTTATCGCAGATCTATTTTGATGCAGATCTATTTTATTGCAGATCTATTTTATCGCAGATCTATTTTATCGCAGATCTATTTTACTGCAGATCTATTTTATTATTGCAGATCTATTTTATTATTGCAGATCTATTTTATTATTGCAGATCTATTTTATCGCAGATCTATTTTATCGCAGATCTATTTTATCGCAGATCTATTTTATCACAGATCTAATTTGATGCAGATATATTTTATCACAGATCTATTTTGATGCAGATCTATTTTATCACAGATCTATTTTGATGCAGATCTATTTTATCGCAGATGTATTTTATCACAGATCTATTTTGATGCAGATCTATTTTATCACAGATCTATTTTATCACAGATCTATTTTATCACAGATCTATTTTATCACAGATCTATTTTGATGCAGATCTATTTTATCGCAGATCTATTTTATCGCAGATCTATTTTATCGCAGATCTATTTTATCGCAGATGTATTTTATCGCAGATGTATTTTATCGCAGATGTATTTTATCGCAGATCTATTTTATCGCAGATCTATTTTATCACAGATCTATTTTATCACCGATCTATTTTATCACAGATCTATTTTATCACAGATCTATTTTATCACAGATCTATTTTGATGCAGATCTATTTTATCGCAGATTTATTTTATCACAGATCTATTTTGATGCAGATCTATTTTATCACAGATGTATTTTATCGCAGATGTATTTTATCGCAGATGTATTTTATCACAGATCTATTTTATCGCAGATCTATTTTATCACAGATCTATTTTCATGCAGATCTATTTTATCACAGATCTATTTTATCGCAGATCCATTTTATCGCAGATCTATTTTATCGCAGATAAATAGATTGGCTGTGTGTTTCCTGGACGGGGCCGCCTTTTACAGCTGCTTTTTGTATCTCTGCTTCTGTCTCCTTGAACCCCAGTCGGCCTCGGCAGATGGCCGCTCACACTGAGCCTGGTTCTGCTGGAGGTTTCTTCCTGTTAAAAGGGAGTTTTTCCTCTCCACTGTCGCTACAAGCATGCTTAGTGTGGGGGATTGTATTTGAGTCAATGAGTCAATGCAATCAACTGGTTTTCCTTAGATAGAAAACTTTGTATCAATTTGACTGTATGATCTGGTTGAACTGTAAAGTGCCTTGAGATGACGTGTGTTGTGAATTTGGCGCTATATAAATAAACTGAATTGAATTGAATTGAATTGAATCTATTTTATCACAGATCTATTTTATTGCAGATGTATTTTATCACAGATCTATTTTATCTCAGATCTATTTTACTGCAGATCTATTTTATTGCGTGTTATTTCTATAATGTCAGAGCAAACCAAAGAGCCAGATTTGTTGTTGAAGTTTGTTTTTCTGCATATTTTGAAAGAGACGAGCTGATTGGTCGGGAAGGACATAGGACCGTTTATCAGTGACAGAAAGCTGTTTTCCCATCATGCACTGGGGCGATAGCGGCACCCGATGCAAGAGTTTGCCCTGGAGCTGAAGGACCAACACCCATCGGATCTATGCAGCTCTAGCTCTACTCAAACACATCTGGAAACTGGGTGGGCCTTTCTGGTCCAGAACTGGACTGGTTTCAATCCCAGAGAAGGACGGATGGAGGCTGGTAAGGGTCAAGGCTCCATCTTAGGCCCCCCTCCTGTATCTCCATGCTCCCCCTGACCAGATCTGACTAAACAGCATCAGTTACCATGACGATGCAGACCACACCCAGCTGTCCATCACCAGGTGACTATGAACCCATTCCGCTGTGGTTGTTCACCAGGTTTTCCCGTTTTTGAAACATGGCTACCAGGTGATTAACCAATCAGAGCTTTGTCTCTGGTTGAACTGTCACTCCTGATTGGTCCACAGGTGACGACCATCAGAGGACGGCAACCTTCAATCCAAGTTTGGACTTTTTCCTTCCATAAGTCTTGATGGGAAGTTATTATTTTCACCATATCTATCACTGAGGATACGTAAATATACTTTAGTTGCTTCTAATTTAGTTGCCTTATTGCCGTCACATAAACCGCTCTGATGATGCCTTTAAAGACCATTGGAAAGCTTGGATTATTTCCCTTCGTATCCAATGCATATGCGTTTAATTACTGTTGGAATTTACAGTCTTAGACCTGTTCTTCTGTCATTCTCACCAATTCTTTCAATATCTTGGTTTTATTTCACTGAAGCCTCATCATCATCACCATCATCATCATCACCATAATCGTCATCATCACCATCATCATCATCACCATCATCATCATCACCATCATCATCATCACCATCATCACCATAATCGTCATCAATGGGCACTCACAGCTGGACAGCTCCGAGCTGAGGACCAGGACGCTGACCTCATCTTCGCCTGACCGGCCGTTGGAGTCGGTGACGGTCAACTTCAGGACGTAGGATCCCGGCTGGAGGTTGGAGAGCCGCTGCTGGTCCAGAAGGTCCGTGTTCTGCAGAACCCCAGAGAGACACTCAGGAACCAGAAACCAGCTGAACCCGAGCCGGTTTAAAGCCGACCGACACGACTGATCTGGTCAGGACACGTCTGAGTTTGGGTCGGTGTTCCGATGAACAGATCAGAACCTCTGAACCGTTACCTCCATCTTCAGACTGCGGTCTCCACTCTGCAAACTCCAGCGGTAGGTGGCGATCTTGGCGTTCCCCAGCGCCACGCTCTCTGTGCCGTTCAGCGTCACCGTCTCTCCAGGCTGGACAACAACATCGCGGCCTGCGTTAGCGATGGGCGGAGGCTGCTCACCTGAAAGAGAAGGGCTAGGATTAGAAATTAGGATTAAGGAATAGGATTAACGAATACATTGGGATTAAGGGCTAGGATTAAAGAAGCAGGGACAGAATGACCAGATTAAATGACCGGAATAGATGCCGGATTAAATAACTGAATTAAACAACTGGGTTAGATGACCGGATTAAATGACCGGATTAATTGACCAGATTAAATGACCGGATTAATTGACCGGGTTAAATGACCGGATTAAATGACCGGATTAATTGACCGGGTTAAATGACCGGATTAATTGACCGGATTAAATGACCGGGTTAAATGACCGGGTTAATTGACCGGGTTAAATGACCGGGTTAATTGACCGGGTTAATTGACCGGGTTAAATGACCGGGTTAAATGACCGGATTAATTGACCGGATTAAATGACCGGGTTAAATGACCGGGTTAAATGACCGGGTTAAATGACCGGGTTAAATGACCGGAGTAAATGACCGGGTTAATTGACCGGGTTAATTGACCGGGTTAAATGACCGGGTTAAATGACCGGGTTAAATGACCGGGTTAAATGACCGGGTTAAATGACCGGGTTAATTGACCGGATTAAATGACCGGGTTAGATGACCGGATTACATGACCGGGTTAGATGACCGGATTAGATGACCGGGTTAAATGACCGGATTAATTGACCGGAGTAAATGACCGGGTTAATTGACCGGATTAAATGACCGGGTTAAATGACCGGGTTAATTGACCGGATTAAATGACCGGGTTAAATGACCGGATTAGATGACCGGATTAGATGACCGGGTTAAATGACCGGGTTAATTGACCGGAGTAAATGACCGGGTTAATTGACCGGATTAAATGACCGGGTTAAATGACCGTATTAAATGACCGGGTTAAATGACCGGATTAATTGACCGGAGTAAATGACCGGAGTAAATGACCGGGTTAATTGACCGGATTAAATGACCGGGTTAAATGACCGGGTTAAATGACCGGGTTAATTGACCGGATTAAATGACCGGATTAAATGACCGGATTAGATGACCGGGTTAAATGACCGGGTTAATTGACCGGATTAAATGACCGGATTAAATGACCGGATTAAATGACCGGATTAAATGACCGGGTTAATTGATCGGATTAAATTACCGGGTTAATTGACCGGATTAAATGACCGGGTTAAATTACCGGGTTAAATGACCGGGTTAATTGACCGGATTAAATGACCGGATTAAATGACCGGAATAAATGACCGGATTAAATGACCGGGTTAATTGACCGGGTTAATTGACCGGATTAATTGACCGGATTAATTGACCGGGTTAAATGACCGGGTTAATTGACCGGGTTAAATGACCGGATTAATTGACCGGGTTAATTGACCGGATTAATTGACCGGGTTAAATGACCGGGTTAATTGACCGGGTTAAATGACCGGGTTAATTGACCGGATTAATTGACCGGATTAGATGACCGGATTAGATGACCGGGTTAAATGACGGTTAAATGACCGGATTAAATGACCGGATTAGATGACCGGATTAGATGACCGGATTAGATGACCGGATTAATTGACCGGGTTAATTGACCGGGTTAATTGACCAGATTAAATGACCGGGTTAATTGACCGGATTAAATGACCGGATTAAATGACCGGGTTAATTGACCGGGTTAATTGACCGGATTAATTGACCGGATTAGATGACCGGATTAGATGACCGGGTTAAATGACGGTTAAATGACCGGATTAAATGACCGGATTAGATGACCGGATTAGATGACCGGGTTAAATGACCGGATTAATTGACCGTGTTAATTGACCGGGTTAATTGACCGGATTAATTGACCGGATTAGATGACCGGATTAGATGACCGGGTTAAATGACGGTTAAATGACCGGATTAAATGACCGGATTAGATGACCGGATTAGATGACCGGATTAATTGACCGGGTTAATTGACCGGGTTAATTGACCAGATTAAATGACCGGGTTAATTGACCGGATTAAATGACCGGATTAAATGACCGGGTTAATTGACCGGGTTAAATGACCGGGTTAATTGACCGGGTTAAATGACCGGATTAAATGACCGGATTAATTGACCGGGTTAAATGACCGGGTTAAATGACCGGGTTAAATGACCGGGTTAAATAACCGGGTTAAATAACCGGGTTAAATGACCGGATTAAATGACCGGATTAAATGACCGGGTTAATTGACCGGGTTAAATGACCGGGTTAAATGACCGGATTAAATGACCGGATTAAATGACCGGGTTAATTGACCGGGTTAAATGACCGGATTAAATGACCGGATTAATTGACCGGGTTAAATGACCGGGTTAAATGACCGGGTTAAATGACCGGGTTAAATGACCGGATTAATTGACCGGGTTAATTGACCGGGTTAAATGACCGGGTTAATTGACCGGGTTAAATGACCGGGTTAAATGACCGGATTAGATGACCGGATTAAATGACCGGATTAAATGACCGGGTTAGATGACCGGGTTAGATGACCGGATTAGATGACCGGATTAAATGACCGGGTTAATTGACCGGGTTAAATGACCGGGTTAAATGACCGGGTTAAATGACCGGGTTAAATGACCGGGTTAATTGACCGGGTTAAATGACCGGGTTAAATGACCGGGTTAAATGACCGGGTTAAATGACCGGATTAGATGACCGGATTAAATGACCGGATTAAATGACCGGGTTAGATGACCGGGTTAGATGACCGGATTAGATGACCGGATTAAATGACCGGGTTAATTGACCGGGTTAAATGACCGGGTTAAATGACCGGGTTAAATGACCGGATTAATTGACCGGGTTAAATGACCGGATTAAATGACCGGGTTAAATGACCGGATTAAATGACCGGATTAAATGACCGGATTAAATGACCGGATTAATTGACCGGGTTAAATGACCGGATTAAATGACCGGATTAAATGACCTTGTTAATTGACCGGGTTAATTGACCGGATTAGATGACCGGATTAATTGACCGGGTTAAATGACCGGATTAAATGACCGGGTTAAATGACCGGATTAAATGACCGGATTAAATGACCGGATTAAATGACCGGATTAATTGACCGGGTTAAATGACCGGATTAAATGACCGGATTAAATGACCTTGTTAATTGACCGGGTTAATTGACCGGATTAGATGACCGGGTTAAATGACCGGGTTAAATGACCGGGTTAAATGACCGGATTAAATGACCGGATTAAATGACCGGGTTAATTGACCGGGTTAATTGACCGGGTTAAATGACCGGATTAAATGACCGGATTAAATGACCGGGTTAAATGACCGGGTTAAATGACCGGGTTAAATGACCGGGTTAAATGACCGGGTTAAATGACCGGGTTAAATGACCGGATTAAATGACCGGATTAAATGACCGGGTTAATTGACCGGGTTAAATGACCGGGTTAAATGACCGGATTAAATGACCGGGTTAATTGACCGGGTTAAATGACCGGATTAAATGACCGGATTAATTGACCGGGTTAAATGACCGGGTTAAATGACCGGATTAATTGACCGGGTTAATTGACCGGGTTAAATGACCGGATTAATTGACCGGGTTAATTGACCGGGTTAAATGACCGGGTTAATTGACCGGGTTAAATGACCGGGTTAAATGACCGGATTAGATGACCGGATTAAATGACCGGATTAAATGACCGGGTTAGATGACCGGGTTAGATGACCGGATTAGATGACCGGATTAAATGACCGGGTTAAATGACCGGGTTAAATGACCGGGTTAAATGACCGGGTTAAATGACCGGGTTAATTGACCGGGTTAAATGACCGGGTTAAATGACCGGGTTAAATGACCGGGTTAAATGACCGGATTAGATGACCGGATTAAATGACCGGATTAAATGACCGGGTTAGATGACCGGGTTAGATGACCGGATTAGATGACCGGATGAAATGACCGGGTTAATTGACCGGGTTAAATGACCGGGTTAAATGACCGGGTTAAATGACCGGATTAATTGACCGGGTTAAATGACCGGATTAAATGACCGGGTTAAATGACCGGATTAAATGACCGGATTAAATGACCGGATTAAATGACCGGATTAATTGACCGGGTTAAATGACCGGATTAAATGACCGGATTAAATGACCTTGTTAATTGACCGGGTTAATTGACCGGATTAGATGACCGGGTTAAATGACCGGGTTAAATGACCGGGTTAAATGACCGGATTAAATGACCGGGTTAATTGACCGGGTTAATTGACCGGGTTAAATGACCGGATTAAATGACCGGATTAAATGACCGGGTTAAATGACCGGGTTAAATGACCGGGTTAAATGACCGGATTAATTGACCGGGTTAATTGACCGGATTAGATGACCGGATTAGATGACCGGGTTAAATGACCGGGTTAAATGACCGGATTAATTGACCGGGTTAAATGACCGGATTAAATGACCGGATTAAATGACCGGATTAATTGACCGGGTTAATTGACCGGATTAGATGACCGGATTAGATGACCGGGTTAAATGACCGGGTTAAATGACCGGATTAAATGACCGGGTTAAATGACCGGGTTAATTGACCGGGTTAAATGACCGGGTTAATTGACCGGATTAAATGACCGGGTTAAATGACCGGATTAAATGACCGGGTTAATTGACCGGGTTAAATGACCGGATTAAATGACCGGATTAAATGACCGGGTTAAATGACCGGATTAAATGACCGGGTTAAATGACCGGGTTAATTGACCGGGTTAAATGACCGGGTTAATTGACCGGATTAGATGACCGGGTTAAATGACCGGATTAAATGACCGGGTTAAATGACCGGGTTAATTGACCGGGTTAAATGACCGGGTTAATTGACCGGATTAGATGACCGGGTTAAATGACCGGATTAAATGACCGGGTTAAATGACCGGGTTAAATGACCGGATTAAATGACCGGGTTAAATGACCGGGTTAATTGACCGGGTTAAATGACCGGGTTAATTGACCGGATTAAATGACCGGGTTAAATGACCGGGTTAAATGACCGGGTTAAATGACCGGGTTAAATGACCGGGTTAAATGACCGGGTTAATTGACCGGGTTAAATGACCGGGTTAAATGACCGGGTTAAATGACCGGGTTAAATGACCGGATTAGATGACCGGATTAAATGACCGGATTAAATGACCGGGTTAGATGACCGGGTTAGATGACCGGATTAGATGACCGGATGAAATGACCGGGTTAATTGACCGGGTTAAATGACCGGGTTAAATGACCGGGTTAAATGACCGGATTAATTGACCGGGTTAAATGACCGGATTAAATGACCGGGTTAAATGACCGGATTAAATGACCGGATTAAATGACCGGATTAAATGACCGGATTAATTGACCGGGTTAAATGACCGGATTAAATGACCGGATTAAATGACCTTGTTAATTGACCGGGTTAATTGACCGGATTAGATGACCGGGTTAAATGACCGGGTTAAATGACCGGGTTAAATGACCGGATTAAATGACCGGGTTAATTGACCGGGTTAATTGACCGGGTTAAATGACCGGATTAAATGACCGGATTAAATGACCGGGTTAAATGACCGGGTTAAATGACCGGGTTAAATGACCGGATTAATTGACCGGGTTAATTGACCGGATTAGATGACCGGATTAGATGACCGGGTTAAATGACCGGGTTAAATGACCGGATTAATTGACCGGGTTAAATGACCGGATTAAATGACCGGATTAAATGACCGGATTAATTGACCGGGTTAATTGACCGGATTAGATGACCGGATTAGATGACCGGGTTAAATGACCGGGTTAAATGACCGGATTAAATGACCGGGTTAAATGACCGGGTTAATTGACCGGGTTAAATGACCGGGTTAATTGACCGGATTAAATGACCGGGTTAAATGACCGGATTAAATGACCGGGTTAATTGACCGGGTTAAATGACCGGATTAAATGACCGGATTAAATGACCGGGTTAAATGACCGGATTAAATGACCGGGTTAAATGACCGGGTTAATTGACCGGGTTAAATGACCGGGTTAATTGACCGGATTAGATGACCGGGTTAAATGACCGGATTAAATGACCGGGTTAAATGACCGGGTTAATTGACCGGGTTAAATGACCGGGTTAATTGACCGGATTAGATGACCGGGTTAAATGACCGGATTAAATGACCGGGTTAAATGACCGGGTTAAATGACCGGATTAAATGACCGGGTTAAATGACCGGGTTAATTGACCGGGTTAAATGACCGGGTTAATTGACCGGATTAAATGACCGGGTTAAATGACCGGGTTAAATGACCGGGTTAAATGACCGGATTAAATGACCGGGTTAAATGACCGGATTAAATGACCGGATTAAATGACCGGATTAAATGACCGGGTTAGATGACCGGATTAAATGACCGGGTTAGATGACCGGATTAGATGACCGGATTAGATGGTGTGTGCTGGTTCTCACCTGGTGCCTGCAGGTATCTCTGGAACATGCTCTCTCTGATGTAGCTCTGGTATCCAGCCTGGTTCACAAACCGACAGACGAAGCGGTTTTTGTGGACACAGTCAATCAGTACGCAAGTGCGCGTGTTTTCTGTCGCGTTCTCGTCACGCGGCTTCAGCAGCGCCAGGTTGCAGCGTGGATCGGTGCAGCAGTGGTCCTGGCAGTCCTCATCCACGGACACGGCCCGCGTGTCCAGCAGAGCCGCCCCATCCCCCACCGCGTCCTTCAGGTCCAGCACAAAGTTTTCGCGTCCGGAGCGGAAAGCTGCGCCGCATTCCTCCGCCGCGACGCGCCGCGCGCCGCAAAGCAGCAGCGCGGAGAAGGTCCAACAGAACCAGAACATCTCAGGCAGCTGGAAGCTCAGTGCGGGGTTCTGCTCAGACCGACAGGAAACCATCTGAGCCGCTCCTCAGTGGCGCGTCTCACCTGCAGCGATAAGACGCTGCTGACGTCATACAGGTGTGGCACTGAGAGCGGAGCTGTTTTCAGTCACTCTGTTTATGCACTGGATTGCTGACAGGCCGAAAACAGTGAAGTCACCTGACGCCATGCTGGTACTCCCCACTCCCACGGAGACGCCTCCCAGTCCCTGGATGGACCAACCAATAAATCCATCTATTGCTGATGGATCCTATAGTCTGCAGACTAACGTTAGTCTGCAGACTAACATTAGTCTGCAGACCAAGGGCGTAGGTTTGATTTGAACTTCGGTAGGGACACTATCAGTCGGGTGTCATTGGTGCTGCAATATGCCCTTTTTTATGCACGGTGTGAGGATCCGTACTGATAAGAGGAATTCATTGTTAAAAGAGAAAAGCATCATTTTGGTACATTAATAAAAATTGTATAAGCTCTACACTCATTAGATGCTGTTTATTTTTGTTTGAAGTATCACCAGCTCTGATGAATGTGGAATTAGGACTGTTTTTCACTTTGTAACCGGTTTCATTTGCATGACTATTAGAGAAGGTAAACACAGTATTTTCTTCTGAAGATATAGAATTGTGCAGAGTTAAACCCCACTCTTATATTTTTACCTACTATTCTCTCTCTGTATCAAGCAAAATAATACATTCATTAAAATATTAACTTCATTATAAAAGTGGAACATCTGGGCTGTAGTTACTCTGTATAGCCCATTTCATGTATTTTATCTGGGACTGAAAAAATGAATCATATTAATGGATTATTTCAATAATTGTCAACTAATTTAGTGAGTGATTCATCATTAACTGGAGAATAGAGACTCTAAAACATAATAAAAATGTAAAATATGCCTTTCTCCGACAGAGCTACCCACTTAGATCAGTAATTAGACCAAAATTTTAAAAATACAACATATATATAATATATAAGATTAAAATAAAATGTTTTTGTCTGTCAATATTCTCCATCCAGAACTCCTCATGTGGAAATATTTTAGTATCACCTGGTTTAATTAGACATCACCTGAAGCACTGAAGGCCAGCTGCTTCACCTACAAGCTGCCCTGCATCATTATTACTGGATATCTGTGTTTCCTATAATCATTTAATGTATAAGCGTGTTTTTAATAGTAAAGGATTAAATGTAACACAACCTTTTATCATTGTCCTATATTGCTTACTGTCTGACTGTTTAAATAGCTCCTTATGTCTATTTTCTTTTTTAGTGGCATCATCTACAAACACAACACTGAGAATGAGCCTAAGTGTATTAAAATATAAAATCACTTTTAACAATTATAAAAGACAATATAACACTATCTTATCTGTAATTTAATAATATCCAAAATAAACAGCCAGATTCAAGCATTTTTACCAGACATTAATGTTTGTACTAATTTACTTATAGACTGTGTGGGAATCTATGTAAGATCAAATCAATGTTGATATTCTTCCTTTGTTTGTTATTGTCTTTATCTTATTTCTAGAAGTAGAAATAGTCAATAAAATAGAACTATTATTATGTGAAACCCTAATTATGCTTTTTAAATGAAAAACAGCAGATGTTTAGGCACCATTTCTTGTTGTTATAGGCTACTCTATAGAAGAAAAACACCTGCTAATGATTATACCTGAAAGAGTCATCAAAAAATGAAACCAGTAACAGCAACTAAATATCGGCAAAAAGGAAACCCTCACATTTTCTTTCTTAAATGGCTGTGGCTAAGAATCAGAAATGTTGATGGCTTACAGCCTTTATTTGCCCATTTTTCCAGCAGTCTTCAGAACTCCTGGCTGACTCAGAATATTTCGTTTTAAAAAATAAAAAAAAGGTTTTTGTTTTTTAGTGCACATGATATTTCTTTTTTTTTTTTTTATTGGGACTAGTTTTGCAGCCTAATATTAATTGCAGTAACCGCGGCATTTTAGTGTGAATAAATGTTCAATTTTGTGCTCCAAGCACGGACGGACTAGAAAACAGCCTATCAAGGAGAGAGAAGGCGGAACCTAAGGCACAACAACCAATGAGAGTGGAGTTAAACAGCGCAGCACAGCTCCATGCGCTGCTAAGTGAAAGGGACAGGAGAGAGCAGGCAGAGGAGCTGCGAGAGGAAAAGAAGCCACTGCTGCAACAACTACTGCTGTAGATTATAAACATGTTGCTCACATCCAATTATTGGTAGGGACAATTAGGTCGGTTCAAAATGTTGGTAGGGACATGTCCCTATGGTCTATGCAAACCTACGCCCATGCATGACAGGAAATGATTTCAGAATAAAGTTCATAACGAAGCTGATTAATCCATGAGAATCAAAATAACATTTTTATCAAAATATGGACTTTTTCCTGAAGGTAAATCTTCATGAATTAAAGCAGAAATTCCTCTCATAGAAGCTGTTGATGGAATCTGGAGACGTTTAAAGGACATTTTTAACACTTTAATTACAGCTGAATAAAAAATGTTGACCACTCAATAAAAAAAAAAAAAATGATTTGGAATGAAAAAGCAAAGTGAATTTGAAGTTTTAATCCATTTTATTTAAAAGGTTTTAATCAAGTCATTAAAATGTAATAAATCAAATCCTCTTATTTTTTAAGAGCTGTGAAAAATTAAATCTGCAAAAGATGTTTCTTATTTTTACAAAATAAACATTCATTATATGAATTCAATAATATCCCATAAAATGTATAAAATTCAACAGATGAAGCGTTTAATCCGGGGATTATTTTTCTTCTTCATAGATTTGAAGTTTCCAGATTTTCAGAGTTGTTGAAATTCTCCTTTGATCTTTAGAGTTCTTCATCCTGTGGAAGAATTTTCCGGATCATATTTAGATTTATCCAGATTCTCATGAAAAACTCAGATTAGTTCTGCTGACTTTGGGATTAGGATTTAATCCAGGGTTTATTCTCAGCGCTGAAATGTTGGATCTTTTCTGGTTACATTTTTTTTGAGAATTAAAAAGTTTCTCCAAGCATTTAGATCTGGAGCAATAGATGCTCCTCCAGCAGCTTCGCTTTATAAATCATCTACTTCATTCTGCAGCTCTAGGAATCGCGCTGCTTCCTCTTCTGATTAATTTATTTATATTTAGAAATTTTAATTCTTCCATCATTTTCTTTTCTTTCTTCTCTTTAACTTTTTGATATTTTCACTGCAGAAGATGAACATTTCTCTCATTTTAAATCGAAAATATTCCCGTTTCTAGATATTGTTCATATAGATTTTAGGAAATAAATCAAAAGGTAACATTTTAACTTTAAAAGTTAAATTTTGAAGCAGATTCATATTCTAGCTCGTTTTTTCTTTAGAAACATTTAAATATATTGAGAAAACTTAGTGATCAGATAAGAAATATTTTCTAAACAAGAGGAGTTTAGCCTTAAATTAGTTCTAGGTTGTGATGATCCTCTAGAACTAGAACAGGTAAACTTAGATTAAAGAAACGCTGCGCATCTATTACTGATAACTCTATGCTTATTAAATTTGATGCAGGTGAAAAAACATCAAAGGAATTCATGAACTGATCAGCTTTGAATTTTATCCTTTGTTGATGTCTGAATAATGTTCTGTATATCGCTATGGCAACTGTACTTATTTAATAAATGAAGTTAGTAGTTTATAGGTTCAAAGAGACACAAAGTCTGTTTTTTATTCATTCCACTGGTCGTCTGTTTGATCAAATAGAAATAGAGGCCTGCCAATAATTCTGGCCTCCTTCCAATAATGACCTGGACCAAGATGCACCTGAGTGGATCAATGATCTGGCCCCGATAGCTGGGCTGAGCCATATTTAAAGCAGCAGGAGCAGGTGGATGAGATGAATGATAATTAGTAATCAGGCAGGTAAGGCAGGTGGGTGAACTGATCAATTAAGTCAGCTAAGGCTTTATCCTGCTTTCCCTTTTCAAAGGTCAGGATCTGATCCAGCCTAGATAGAGACAGTTAGGACTGATTTAAAGCACTTTGTAGAAAAGAAGAATGAACACATGGAAAATAATAGAATATAGTCGACTTTTTCTAGATGTTTTACCGTATTTTCACGACTATAAGGCGCACTTAAACGTCTTTTTTCCCCTCAAAATGTGCGGTGCGCCCTATGGTGCGGTGCGCCCTATGTGTGTTGTAACTGCGACTTTTGAGGCCACCTCATTGAGGAGATGATGAAAGAGTGGCTGAATGTAAGGAGACCAGGTGTTTTTTTTCCACCCCTCACCATCGCTGTTAATATGTAACTCCATGCGTGCCCATCTCACAGCTGATGTGAAAAACATGGGGAAACAAATTAACGCTGTGCTCGCTGTTCAACTGCTCGACATCGGTGTGAATCGGACCCAGCAGGTGCAACAGAAGCAGCGAGTTTACATGCAAAGTCAATGGTTGACGCGCATATAGGTGCAGCAAAAGGTCCTGCAGCGCATTTTGGTGCAGCACGTCGGGAGCGTTTAAGCATCTGACGCACCGCCAACGCGCTGCTGCTGCTCAGATGGAAAAATTGAAGTTTTGCTGCTGGACGCGCCGCATCAACCAATCAGAGAAGCTGATCTGGGAGCTGACAGCGAGACAGACACAGCGCTCTGATGATATTAACGCAAATGAAAAGGCTGGATGAATGAGGAGATGATGAAAGGCAGGTGTATGTGAGGAGACCAGGTGGTTTTTTCCACGCATCACCATCGCTGCGTGCCCATTTCACAGCCGATGTGAAAAAAAGATGAATCAAATGAACGCTGTGCTCGCCGTTATCCCGGGGGTCTGACAAAGGAACTTCCACCGCTCGACATCGGTGTGACGCGCCCGTTCAAAGTAAGGCTGCGAGCGGCGTGGGAGCGATGGATGACAGACTGAGACCACAGTTTCATGATAAATGGAAGGCAGCGCCGGGCAAGTTACGCCACAGTTTGCGGATGGATTGTAGATGGACTGTGTCTGCTGGCTCTGTTGTTCAAGCTTTTGCAAAAGCCGGCATTATTTCTGAGGAGCTGCGCTGCACGGAAAGTGACTCTGACAGCGCAGAAGGGGAA